CACCCTGGCTGCGATGACAGCCGTTAATCGCTGTAGTTTGTCGCTGCCCGTGTGTCGAGCCCTTAAGAGTGTAATTGTGTTTTCACCACATCACATAGAAAATTCCATGGAATCATTGCAAACAAAGTTGAACAATTGAAACTGGATCCAGGAGAAACCCTGTCAGAAAACACCTTCAACAAGAAAATGACTTAAGCGACTTCACCTAGGATCTGTACTCTGCTGAACCTCTGCCTTTCCACCACTCATTTAAAGTTCAGGGACARTTTTAACTGGTCGAGCCATGGGACCCCCAGTGTCCCCAGCTGAGACAAATTGACATGGAGGAATTAGAAAAGAGAACCGTGGTCTCCTTCAAGTAAACAACATAAACCCACTGGTTCAGACATGAGTATGATACCTGGGTTAAAATACAAACTAAGAGACTTATAGTTGTGTAATGAGAGAGGACACACAGGAAAGGACTCCTGGCTAATCGTGTATTTTCCTTCCTTCAGTGTGAGGTTGTGTTATGACTATTCCACCCAAAATGAGCAACTTTCAAACTACTAAGTCAGGCATAGGTGAAGCACTCAGTACCCGGCCTGGCTACACGTGACACGAGGAGACGAGCTGTTTACTTTTGACTCACCGGAGGAAGCTCRAACGTTTTTCAACCGACGGTTCGGCCAGGAGTAAATGTGTGTCATACTTGGTGCCCACGGTTGAGAAGCACAAGTTCACCTCCTGAGATCTTTCTGTCAACTAGCAGCTCTCAGAATCAAGGCTCTGTTATTTGCTGGTGTTTCTGCTGGACTGATTTACATCACGTTGTACAATATTATCTGCTTTAGTTTTACAAATGACACTTATTTTTATGCTTACTGGGTTCTCGTCACCACCTTAGAGGTTGAAGGACGTAAACCCTAAACATTACTTAAAGACTTCCAAGGCAGTAGAGATAAGGAACTGTTCTTCCAAAGATTTTAATGGGCAACATTTAGCCTTACCTCAGAGACAGGGATAGATAAAGGCATTGTTCTCTTTCTGTTTATGTTTATGTTTATGTTTATGTTTATGTTTATGTTGGGGGTTTGGGTTATGAGAAGGGACACATTAGATTTATGTAACACGTGTTTCCATTTGTCAGAGAAATAGTGAAGCTACTGTATGTGCTGTGTTACATTCACTCTGCAATTTTGCGTCATTAAATGGGAAAGAAACAGAGGGAATGCACCACACTATGGCTTTTTTAATCTTTTCTATTTTCCAGCTGTAAATGGAAAACTGCTGTGAGATTTTAGTTGGATTGTTAAAGGCTTAAATGGGTCATTTAAAAGAGCCAGGATGTTCAACCAGCTCGAGTATTTAAGAGGTGATATCACATTTCTTCCAAAAACCCACCAATTGGTTACAGATTGACTGGGTGGGCCATATGTCTCATTCTAATCTTAATTCCAGAACCCGTGGTACTGACATTTTGATACAAAAAAAAAAGTTTCAATTCAACCCAACAACAATAACCTTTCATTTACAGTATGCATGAATGTATGCATGCATGTGTGTATGTATATATATGTTTTTGTATACTCTTTATG